ATTTTTATTGCATGATTTTATTGTTACCGCTTCTATTTAGATTTAAAGACCCTTCTTTGAATCGAATCACGCGTACGTATATTCGTGTTATAAATTATATTTTTTTAAAAACATGCAGAGTTGTGTCACACGCACGTGTACATTTTATTCGTGTTTTAAAACCATACTTTTTTTTCATTTCAGTAACATTTCTATATGGTACATTTCCAAGATCAAAAAAGTTACCTACTATAGGAAAACCTGGTGGTCCTGGTGGAAGCTTGTATGAAGTAATATATGGTTTTTTGTGAAGAAATAGGAAGATGAATACTGGTAAAGAAAAGACAAGTAAACACATGAGAGAGATGAAATCTAATTCCATCTCAGCTAGATTTTGCATTATCTACTCAAAATTGTATACAAGTTGTATACTTATAATATGTGTTTCCCCTAGTGACCGTCCATGTAGAGGCGGACCCAGGATTCGTTCGTCACAGGGCCACTATTACATTCATAAAGATTGGTACAGGAGCCTCTGTTAATATTTGACTAGTTCTTGAAGACATTTGTAAGTATATATGGAGTTTTTGCTCAAGTATCCGGACGGCGCAAGTGACCCCTCTCCCTACCATGTAGGTCCGCAATTGCGTCTATGAATTATTTATAGATGTCTCTTTGGTCAAACTTCTCGAAGGCTAGAAATGTTTTTTTTTCAGAAGTGTTTATCTTGGAAAATTTTGGTATTTTGTTAGCTTTTGAAAAAATTGCACGGGGGAGGGAGGGGTGGGGGAGGAAATTAGATGGAGTAAGGTTTCTTGGTTATTAGCATCCTTCCTTGATTACGTGGAGGAGAGAGGCTCTCGTAGTCGAGGATCCAGGATTGAAACTTAATGGATGCATGCAACTTTATAGCGAACTAATTATACCATTAAAATTATGTATTCAAATCTAATATTTGTTAAGAATTTAATAAAACTTTACATATATATTTATACTCCGAAAGTTATGGGTTCAAATGAACCTATTGTCGAAAAACAACCTCCGCCCCGGCTCACAATCAACGAAATGTTGCTCGTCTCCAACCCGAGTAATTTGAATCATAGATGGTTGACAATGATAGCCAATTATTGACATTAATAATACTCTCTCTCATTCTATGTTGGTACACATTACTTTTAAACTTGTCCCAAAAAAAAATTACCTTTTTATTTAAAATAATTTAACTTCAAATATCTTATTTAATTCTAATATGATAATTTATAGCCACATAAATGTCTATTATGCGTTTTGATAACAAATTTTAAATTATTTTTTATTCCTTTAGTTTTCTGTTTATCAAATACTACCACATAAATTGAAACAAAAAGTCATATTTTAAAATTTTATTCTTTTGTAATTTGCATCATATTAATTTTTTGACAATATGCACTCCAATCTATGTAGTAATATTAATTTGCTTAGAAAATCACAGAAAAACTCATATTGATAATTATTCACGAGCATAAAATAGAAAAAAAAAACTCAATTAAAATTTTTCAAAAGTAATTTTATGTGCAGTAAGTATCAAAATTCAGAAGAAAATAAAAAAAAGAGATATCATTTGTGGAACACAAGAGTTCAATAATTGATCGCTACTCTGTAAACTCCACTACCCCCGCACCCCCACCCCAACAAAAAGGTTAATCTTCAATTTTCGATTTATTTTCTCTTTTAAATTTATAAAAGCCAAACAATTTGTTATTGTAAACCATTTCAACAATAATGTAGTTGCCACACTTTTGTTTTATGCTCTTCTTCCTTTTCAAGCAGAAGTGGTCATGCCTATAATTAAACCCTTTCAATAATAACGCAGTTGCCACACTTCTGTCTTTTATATATATACTAATTGGAGGTAGCCCGGGCGATGTCCGGGCCCAAGAACCTTATTAATTTTTATTTAACATAAAAAAACTTTTGTTTACAAGTCATGAAACAAAATTGGAAGAAATCTATACAATTTAATTCAAAATGTTTCAAAACGAAGAGTACAAAGTGTTACAATTCTACCAGTTCCCTAATACTTGTGTTATTAGGAAGTAGAATGTTTTTGCCTTATGGCCGAGACAACAAACTAATCTGAAAAATACACAAGCAAAAAATATCTTAGCACATGTGTGTAATACAAATTATCAGAATAGAAAAAGTAGAACCATCAGGCAACATTCTGATATATTTATATTAACTGTATTTAAGAAGTTGAAATAGAGTTACCTATTTCAACTTCTAGGAACAATGGCTTCACTGTTAGTAAATAAAAGTCATAAAAGAGAGAAATGCATTGTAGCACAAAAATGAGAAAACGGGATAGTGAGCAAATATCATTTACGAAAGAACTTTAGATGAACTCTAGAGTTTCGAAACATCTATCAAACACTTGAAATTCGAGAGTTTTCTACCTTGTACATGATAAGAACCTCTGTAAAGTTTTCGCATCTCCTTTATGATTATTTGAAGCAGTTGATTCAAGAAGTTGCATGGAGCAGTTTATAGCTAAAGTATCAATTTTCTGAGCAATTATGTTTGCTACTTTATTTGTTGCAAAAGTATAACTGTAAGTTCAAAACTGGTTTGACCCTTGATTATGACAGAAAGCAACAAACATTATACTGATCCCAAAAGTGGATAGTGGTGGAAATACGAGCAGAGAAAAGAGGTTTCCATTGACAAGCATCTAAACTAAAATACGTATAACATGCTACAAAATGGTGCACTTGTGCAGTTTATCTTGTTCAAGCCTCCTATAGTAGCCCAGTTATCTGTATTCCATGTGCTAGAAAGTACTTACATTGGCCTCTCAATTGGAAAAGAAATTGTTCGTCTGATTCGCGTTCTTGTATACCCCTCGGAACCTTATTTACAAAAAATCTGCATTCAAAAGAGTATTGATCGTTATTAACTATATCTTAACCTCAAATATGTTGTGCTTAGGTAAATTTGTTCAACATGAAACTTTTTGTTGAAATTATAGTACACAATGGAAGTCCAGAGTAGGATCAAACCAGAGAAGATGCCTCATCTTACATTCATCACTGCCATTATTATACACAATGGTCTGAATAAGATAAGGCTGTGTTGTTCTGTTTCCGAAGAGATTTTGAGAAGTCTTGAAATGAGTAATAGGACACAGTTTACTGAAGTTGTTTATCACCAATGAGAGGGCACCAACAGGACAGCAGCCAATTCCACACAGAAACTTCAGTTGAAGAGCACGGTGTTTACACAGTCCCTACCAATAGATGAGCAAAAGCAAAAAAATACGCGACTTTTAGAAAGAATGGAGATATTGACAGAGTTCATTTAGATTACATTATAACAATCTTAATTGTTAATGTCATCAAATTGGTGTTGTGGGATATTTTATCCGTAAGCATATATATTTCGAACAATTTATACATTTTCATCATCACATAAGTTGGAACATCAGTTCAAATGCACTGTATCACCTAATCAAAAGTTCCTATAAATTATTTTACCATTTCCCTTCTACAATTTTAATCTTTCTTCATATTTTTATCTTTATTTTTTCTCCTCCAAGATTTTAATATATAGTAGGTCAATGTAATTTCTTGCTAATTTTAAGTTAAAAAATTTAAGGAATATCTAAATGCTTCGCCTCAAATTTGATCATCGTACTTGTACCCCACTGCAGGAGAAAAGCTTAATTCATTGAATAATTTTGTCAGACACCTAAGGGTAGAGGCTAAAACAGAAACACAGAAGCTGCACACACAGAAAGAGAAAAGCATGGAGGCAATGGAAATATTACAGTACGAACTGATCTCATCCCGAAGGTGATCAAACGCAAATTTTTAGCAACAAGAAACTCGAAGAACAGAGTGAAACTAAACAGAAAGATAAACAGAGTGTGACCTGAATAATCGTACGGGAAAGAAAAGTGAAATCGGATATTGCCCACCATTTACCCAAAAGTGAAAATACCAGATGGCCTTTATAGGGAGTGTGAGTCAGCAGACTGAGTAGGAGCAATTTGACAAACCTGATCAATAAAGATGTTGTAGAAAAAGTATATGATTATCTAGCTTAATAACATTATTGTTTCAATTATTAAAAATATTAATGTGACAAAGTTAAACAAAGGACCATAATGTCTATTTTTCTTTCTGTTTTTACGATTAGATCATGTTTCACATCAGCTTTCATGGCCTTCATGGCTTTAAACCTTAGGTTTTTTAATCAGAAACTTTGATGCAGTGTATAATCTCACAAGATGATCGGCAGATACAAACCTTAGGTGAACTTATTTGCATTCTTTTATGCCTTTTGTGAGCACATAATTTTTTCTCTATAGGAATTACTCCCATAAAATCTAAGAAAATAAATTTTTCCAATTATTTGTAATTTTATAGATTTTTTGTTAATTATTTACATTTTTTTGTGCATGATTATTTTATTAAAATCATAAAAAAGTACAGAAATACCATGCATTTCATTTAGGCTTTATTTTACATTTTTAGGATTTAACAGTAATTACTTATTTTATAAAAATTGAAAATCACAAAAATAGCTCATTTTTACATTTTTTCTTTAGGTTATTGATTTTTCTCTTTAATTTAGAACTAAGTGATTTTTATAATTTTTATAACCAGAAAATTAGCTTAATTTTGTATTTTAGATTAATTTAGGAATTTAGTTTTGGTATTAAAAAAAGAAGGGAAAAGAAAAAAAACAAATAAAGAAGAAAAGGGAAAATAAGAAAAGAATTGAAGGAGAGGAGATTTGTTTTGAATTTAGGGCCAGTTCAATACCCAAATTCGTTCCCAAAACTGGCCCAGATCACATTTCCTTACCCATTCCAGCCAAGCCCAATCCCTCCAACCTAGTCAGGCTCCCATTCTCAACCAAACGACCCCGTTTCGAGTTTGTGTCATCTCAGCCGTTGGATTTCAATAATCCAAAGGCCCGGAACTGAGGCTTCATTTGTATTTAATTGTCCTAACAGCCCCCATACCCCATTCGAACCCCCCAAATCTGTCTCTAACCAAACCTAAAGAAAACCCTAGCCGCCCTAATATCCTCTCAACTCACCGGTCGGTGACGCAACTCTAATCAACCCCAAGTTCATACCACACAATTACCACCCACCCTTGTTTCCTAATCCACCACCATATTTCCCAAAATCCCCATCAAATGCTCTTAGAGCCGGATCTAACAAAAAGTAGAAAGGATCGAGTTTGGGTCATTTTTAACCGTTCGTGGGTTTTACAAGGCTCGTGTTGGCTCGAGATCCATGCTAGTCTATTATTCTTGGAAAGAACAACTGATTAGCGTTCATTTCGGGTCATCCCGAAGTTATTCGAACCCCTTTTGTTTGGTCAGTTCTTGTCTAAGCTTTCTTCCATATTTGTTTAGGTAATAACTAATACCCCATTCTATTTTCCTTAATTTTCGTGCTTTAGCATATCTAGGTTTTGATTTTTGCTTTGCATGACTCCAGTTTTAAATTGTTCTGTTAATTTCATTATTTAAGGTTGCTTGAATTGCCATCTCAGTAGCTTAACAATTAGGTTAATTGCAGTTATTAATAAATTATTGTCTTTGGGGTGTTTCTATTAAAAGTCCATTTTTCGTTTAAAGCCAGAGGATGCTTGCTTAAGTTTTCGATTGAATTCATTCCTGATTTTGGTTTGGGATTCAGTTTGGGCTTGTTAGTACAGAAGCCCAAGGGGCAGGTTGAGCATGTTTGGCTATATAGCCCAATTGCTGGTATTTTTCTGAAGGGTAAATAACAGAAAGTCAAAGGGTATTTAGGAGGTTTGGATTGAAAGAATCTTTCATAACTACCTAGGAAAATTCTAGAAAAGTGGGGAATAGGTTGATTTAACAAGTAGGTTTAAAGTTTGGGGTTTGAATTGAACAAAGGAAAATTGAAGAGAGGTAATAATGAATAAATAAAATCAGGTGCTGCTGCCCTAGAATCTTTCTATATAAGACCCGTTTCACTCATTATTTAGGGCAGAGGTCTAGAGTCCAAAAATAGAAACGGCTGAGGATTTTCTTCAAAAAATACAGATTTTTTTAAAGTTCATTCTCTGCAAAAAGTACTGTCCTAAGTCCTTTTCTGATCTCTCACAAGAAACTAGAAGAAATTTTCAAACTCCAAAAGAGTTGAAACATGGTTAAATTCTGGAAAGAAGCTGTGGCTGCTTTGTTGTTGCTGTTTTGCTCACAATTTGGCTGAAATCCTCACTTTGGTTTTGATTTGGCATCCAGGTATTTCTTAGACCCTAAGTGTTATGGAATGGTAAGTTTGAAATGTGTAATCCAAAATGAGAAAATCTACTGATCATGTTGCCTGTTGATTTTTATCTCCATGTTCTATAAGCTCATTCATTTTATGTAATAATACAGCTTTTCTTATATGCACTTTTGTTTGCTCATTCATATATTGATGTTGTATCACATTTATGAGCTTTGATTTAAGAGTTAGATTATTATGTTGAGTTGTGATCTGATTAAAATCTTCTCATTGGGTATATAGAATGCTCCAACTATCTGTATAAGGAAACTGAGTCAGATGATGAATGTTTTTCTTTGTTTTTGTTCAAACATGTTTAAGTCTGCCTAAGTAAGATGTTGATTTTCATGTGCTGAGTTGATTCATATTGTAATTTCGTGGGTTTACCTCTTGTTGAAGTCTGGTTTTGAGCATCTGGGCCCTTTTAAGAGTTATAATTGAGTGAGAAGGTTTTTGTCCACCAACTATTAAAGATTTTCAAATGGTGTAAGGTTTCCATATTGTTATGACAGTCATATCTTGAATTCAACATACTTAAATAGCAATTTAAACCCCAAATGTGTACTGCTAGCTTGGATAGTGAAACAATATTTCTTTTAGATACATGTCATGGTCATTTGGGTGTGATGGTATTTTGGTCCTGTATATCGTATTGTTGCACAATGATAACAGTCTAATGGGCCCGATCAGGTTCGTTAGGTTTCAGATGTTTTGCTACTCTGTTTGGGCTCGATCTTGAGCCCTATATCGTTCAGCTTCTATTTCCCCCAGAGGCAGTTTATTCAGAGTGGTGTATTGGGCCTGGGCCTATGGCCCACTTGGAAATGGGTAGTCGTTTTCCTGACCACAGTTTGAGGTTTGTATTGAACCCAATACCTCCTTTCAGCACTCTCTTTAGAAGTAGGCTAAAAACTAGTCGGCTTTAAATGATTAAAGGGTTGCTTTTTTTTTTTATAAGAACTTTCCTAGACTGTTTAATCAAATATAGTCCTTTGCAAATGGTTTGTTGTGTGCCATTTAAATTATACCACCATGGACCTCACAAGTGTTATTACTAGTTATTAAAACGAACCCTCATAGAAAAGCCTTTCGGCGCGTGTTTAAAATACAATTGTGATTGTGTACACGTTCGCATGACATGATTATAATTCTAAACCAATTCGGAGTATGCGTTCGCGCAACTTTGGAAAAAATTTCTTAATAATAAAATTGTCTTAATAGACCACTAATATAATTCTAGTTCATATAGTCCAAGGTGTGCCATCCACAATCTAGTCATTCATGGCCCTCGCATTAATTCCATAACTTATATATTAAAAATGACATTCGTAGTATACTTTAGGCACGTTTAATATATCATCGTGATTGTGGACACGTTCGCGTGACATTATTATGATTCTAAAAACAAAATCGAAGTATGCGTTCGTGCAACTTCGGCCCAAATTTTTCTTAATAATAATAAAGGGATATTAATTGGGGACACATTCGCATGACATGATTTTTGACGCACCAAACAAATGGGTACACGTGCACGTGACCCGTTTCAAGATAATTTCTTAATTAAAAAAGGCAAATGCACATAGGTTCTAAAAATGAGTAATTAGACAATTTAATAAGACAAGTATGATCAAAGCTACCGTGCTAGAACCACGGAACTCGGGAATGCCTAACACCTTCTTCCAGGTTAACAGAATTCCTTACCCGGATTTCTGTGTTCGCAGACCGTAAATAAGAGTCAATTTCCTCGATTCGGGAGTCTAAACCAGTGACTTGAGACACCATAAATTATCCCAAGTGGCGACTCTGATTTTAAATAAATAATCCCGATTTGATTGGAAAAAACTCCCTTATACCCTTGCGGGGGTAGAAAAAAGGAGGTGTGATAGCTCTGACCACTCTGCTGGGGACAAGAACCCAGAATCTCTAGTTCAGGGTTCAAGAATTCGAGCTTGTTTTTTGATTTTTACTTGGCTTCATGTATGTTGATATTACTGTATTCTGTAAACCTTTTGTGCTAATTGCAATCTATTTACCGTTCTAATATTGTTTGAATTGTATATAACTGTCTTCTTACGCCGCCCCTTTAAGTCTTCTAAAAATGTTGCACACGTTCGCATGGCCCGCTTTTTCTGTAGAAAATATACCCAAATAAGAACAAGGCTATATGAACATTTATTTGTTTCGGCCTGCATGCTGACCAGCTAGAGATAAATAAATTAAGAGAAAAACCAAGAGTGATGTAGGGAAGGAAATAAAGCCCGGTTCTGAAAAATCCCCGGTATTTGGAAATGTCCCGAAACTCTGCCAAATCTTTTCAAAAAAAGAAAAAGGAAAAGAAAAGAGTCATTTCAAAATAAGTCAACACTTTTTCCTTTTCAAGTATGTCAAAACTGGCCGAACTACGCAGGACTGATTCTCACCGGATGTGAGATACGTAGGCAACCTACATAAGGTTCGGCCTTATTTTTCGAAAAAAAGAGTAAGTGGTCAAATAAATGTAGTTTGGGTTTTTGGTCAAAATAAGCCGATCCAGCTTCAGTAATGTCTTAAGCCGTCCTTGCCGAGATAGCCTTAGAGTATCTTCAGTTGTCGAAGGGCAATTTTCGTAAAAGAATGGATAAGTCTGTCGGTACAATGTCATTTTTCCTTAAAATAGCACTTCCCGACCACAAAATTTATCTAGAATTGGGAAGGGGCCACGTTTGCAAAAACGACCATTTTCGCTAAATTAGCACATAGGGGAGGGAGTCATGGTCCGTTGATTTTTCTTTTAGAAATTAAAAAACCTGTTTTACAAAAAGGATCCACCGGAGTCAAACCTAACCTTAATCTCCCATAGGTATAAATGAACACTGCCTAGAACCTGTCAAAAGTGGTCATAGAACAGGCTCAATTGCAGTAGCA